CCAATTCTAGGTGTAAGGTCTGAGAGCTGCTCCAAAAGGACCAAGAGGTAACTGTAAAGATAAAAGAAAAAAAGAATGCAGAAGCCCCGGCAAAGGAGTTGCAAGCAGGGAGAGAGTGGTCAACAGTGTAGAATACTGCAGACAAGTAGTGTCTACAGACGCCGACCTCAGTCAGAGCAGTTTCAGAGAACTGGGCTGAGGAAAGTAGAAGGATGCGCTGAAGTGAGAAAATAGAGACTGGAAATACTCAGGACTCTTTCAAAGCCGCGTGGGGGTTGGCTCTGATTTACAATAAGTACTGCCAGGCCCAATCTGGTTTTCCCAGTTCTCTTTATTTGTGGAGCCAAAAATGTTATTCAGTGTTTGAACTGGTTAAGGCGCCTTAGAAATCACCGACCAACTTGCTTATTCTGCAAATGAGAAGAGAAACCCTGAGAAGTGCAATGAGTTTTATTTTTATGGAGATTCTGTGTAATTTTTTAGCCCGTGAATTTTATGGAAGATATAAAAACATATTTCAATCTTGAAGAATTTCTGTAGGTTAAAAAAAGGATTAAAAGGTTTAAGGGATTCTTAAATTTTCACAGCCAAGGTGTTCGGAGTGGTTAGGTTATAATGATGATTATCATGAGAAGCTTTTCCTTAAAAGTCTTTCCCCTTCTTGGACTATCACTCAGGATACAGTGAATAGATAACACAGTAGTAGTAAGGACAACGGTAATCTTGATCATTTACTGAGCGCTTATGTGCCAACCACCACCTTACAAAACTGTCTGCTCACAGCTCTCTATTGAACAGGTAAGAAGAGTGAGATTAACTTGTTCTAGATTCAATGAGTTGACTCAAGTCTTCTCACGTTGTGGCAAACGCCTTATTTATTGAACTGCCTTGTAGGACCGCTCAAGTACAGAAGAGGTCGTAGGCTGGAAATGTAGGTGACAGGGGTCGCTTCTCTGGGGTGAGATAAACTGCTCCCCTTCCAACACTCTCCGTCCACCATCTACCTCTTACACATCCCACTTCCACGCCTCATCCCTCCACCCACTCTCGCCCGCTTTCAGAAGGCCCTGCGCACATGACCAAACCTGAGACGCACGCGCCCAGAAAACTGCACAGCTCGGTGCCGAGGTCCAGGGCACAGAGCAACCCAGCCATTCTGAGCGTGGAGGTGCAGCTTAGGGTTTCAGGTAGTTTGGATCCCCGGGCTTCCGTAGGAGCCGGCGCTTCTACGGTCCCTGGCCCCGCCCTTGGCAACGCGCTGGCGTCTTAGCAACCAGCTGGGAGGCGGGAGCAGAAGGCCCCGGGTGGGCTGCGGCGGCGCGGGGAAGGCGGCTCTCAGGTGGCCTTGCGTTCCCGGCGGCAGGGCCTCTTTGAGTCCCTCGGCTGCGGGCACCTTGTAGGACAGAAGAGCCGCCATGCCTCGCCACGCCGAGTCAGCCGCGCCAACAACGGAGGCCCCGGCGACGGCCGAGGCCCAGGGCCCGCGCAGCAAAAGCAAGTCCAGCAGCCCTCGACAAATCCCGGTGATCGGGGTGGTGACGGAGGACGAGGACGCTCTGGTAAGGTCCAGTGTACGTGCCTGGGGAGCTGGGGAGGCGTGGAGGGAGTAGATTGAGATCTGGAGGCGGGGACGAGTTGGGGGGCAGCAAGGACGGGAATGGGGGCCCAAGTGGACACGAGGGTATTCTGCGGAACCGAGGTTCCTGTCAACCTCCGGGCATCTATTAGCTGACCGCTCCGAGAACTGCGCAGCTGGCGAGCGGGCCTACCAACCCGCCTGGCAACTTGGGCCTCCAGGTCCTCGTGAGCGAGCGTCCCACCCAACTGAGTACGGGAGGCTTTGCCGCCGTGCCTGCAAAAGTGTGACTTCGAAGGGCCTGGGGGAAGGAAACATTCTTAGCAAAGACATGAATTTGAACACTTGTTTGCACTGTACTTGTGTATGTAGATCCCTTTTATGTAGTGATGTTCTGAATAGAGGCGTATAACTTTCTCCCGTCTTTAAATTTGCTGCTACTGGGTGGTGGTGGTGGTGGGGAGAGGGTTGGGGGTGTCAGGAAATTGAACAAAAAAGAAAAAAAAGAAAGAGAACTCATGGACATGGACAACAGTGTGGTGACTGCGGTGGGGGACGGGGGTGGAGGTGGAAGAGGGCATAGAGGGGATAAATGATGAAAAAAATTAAATTGCTGCTACTAAAACGTACACAAGGAGAAGAGGAAACTGGTGTTAAAATTAGAAATGAAGCATCGTTTTATGTGAAATTTGAAGCTGATTATGGGGTGGGTCAGAGAGGATTGGCAGAGAATAGAATTGATTTTTCTTTTGTTTTTCTCTTTATTTCATTGTGTTTTTTTATTGAATTCATTGGGGTGACATTAGTTAATAAAATTATATACCTTTTAGGTACACAATTCCACAACACATCATCCATACACTGTATTCTTCTTTTTGTTCTCTGTATCTATGAGTCTATTTCTTTTTAAAAGATATATTTTTATTATCGATAGTATTACAGATATCCCCCATTTCCCCATCCCCCCTCTTCCCAGCCCTTACCCCCATCCCCCACCAGTATGAGTCTATTTCTATTCTGTTTGTTAGTTTATCTTGCTCATTAGATTCTACATGTTAATGAAGTCATATGTCACTTGTAATTGATTTAATTTATTGTGCATAGATTTGGTTACGAATTTACTTGTTTTAAAAATTAATTCTTTCAAGCTGATGTGTTGAGAAATTTCACTCCAAATGCTCCCTTGGATCTCCATTGTGGTGGGGGTGTTTAGAAATTCCAATTCGCTTTTTTCATGCTAGGCTTCCATTGCTCCTCCCCAGAGAGCCATGACCAAGCCCTAAAACCTGAATTCTATGGAGGAATCCTGCCCTGCCTCCTCACACTAATGACATGGGGCCACTGTGGGAATTACTGTTGAGACTTTACAAGTCTCAGGCTGCGTAAGGAACCTTGTCTCCTGTGTCCACAGCCTAGAGCCTGGGAGAGTTCCTTGGGAGTAGCCAGTTGACTGGGGACCTCTTCTGCTGTGGGGCTAGGGTTGAACTCTCTGAGGATGGTCAGACATTTACACAGCAACCTGCGGGGCAACAGCATTTTTGCATGAGGAGGAACGGGGAATTTACCTAGTCAGTTTTGTGGAAGTGTTTCACCCACTTTTTTGTGGGCCGTGGAAAGAAGAATTGTTAAGGAATAGCAGCCTTCCACTCCCAAGGCTTCAAGGGGGCTCAACACTACCACTGTCCTCCCAGGCACCGGGCAAAACTGGGAAGCAGGTGAATTTTATATCTTACGGTTCTCATTCATTCTTCCTTTACCTGGTGTAAAAGTGGGTGGAGGACCAGGGTATAGGAGACAGGCAAGCATGGGTGAAAAAGAAAAAAGAGGAAATACTTTTAATAGGCCATTGCCAGAATAGTCCACAACATATCAAGTATGTGTATCTGTGTGCACATTTTCTTCCTTCCCCGTTTTCTTTTCCTTTTACTACTCTTCTTCCAGGGCCCAGGGTTCTCTTCCAAAAAGAAATCAATTTGTATTAATTTAAGTTCCTACCTTGTTAGTAATGACAAGAGAAAAATTCTGAGATGCACTACGTTAAATTACATCAGTGAGAGAAAAAGACCGGAGTAGTTAACCAGTTGGCCAGCTGTGGGCTAACAACAGACTGCTCACATTCCTGAAAGCATCTATTTAGCAGACAGCTAGACCCTCATATCCCACCTATGCATGAATTTTCAAGACTGCTCTTACTGTTGTCAAATGTAGTATTTCCTCCTTATAGACTGTGCACCTGTCATAGAACTGCCTCTGCTTCACCTCCCCCCTCCCCATCTGTAGCCAGTGTAAATTCTTTCAAAACAACTTATATCTTTCTTCCCCAAACATTAAGTATGAAAGTGCCCATCAAGTCCAGGATGTGGACATGTTTGTCTTTTCTCCCTAGCACTGCTGCCCTTCTATCCTTGGCCCTTACTTGTTTCATTGTCCCCAGTTTTTCTCCCCAGGACCTGGTCCTTTTTTGGCCCAATAAATCTTTCTTTTAGAAAAGCTTTCAGCCTCCAATGTTCTTATGTTGTTTGTCTGTTTGTTTGTTTAACAACAACTACTTCAGGAGTATTGATGTTTTATAAAGTACTGGAGAAAAAGTATCTACCAAAAGAAATGGAATAGAATAAAAACTTACAGAGCTGGGAGAAATGATCACTTGGGTTTTGTTTGTGATTGCTTTTACAACGGAGGCCCCTCAGGCCGTGAGAAATTAAGTGCAGGTTACTCAGTTTCTTTACTCAGAGCGGGGCCTAGTGCTCTTTGCCATCACTAAAATGGTAACTTTTTAGATTGGGTAAAGGGGTTGTCTAGCAAAATGCAGGGTAGAGGTGAGGTGGCTAATGGCTGTGAGAATAGTCTGTCAACCCCCATAATAGAGGCTCAGAGGGGACAAAGGGCCCAGCGAATTCAGGAGGGCAGAATAAGTGGCCCCCGTGTCAATTAAAAAGAAAAGAAAAGAAAAAAAGATAACGTTTTATTTTATTTTATTTATTGTCTAAGTTTTACATATGTCTCCTTTTTCCCCAATTGACCCCCTCCCCCATCCCTTCCCAGCCTGGCAAGCCCCCACCGCCCCAGTGTCTGTGTCCATTGGTTATGCTAATATGCATGCATGTAAGTCCTTTGGTTGCTCTCTAACCCCTCTCCCCTACCATTTGTCTCTAGAACGATCTATTCTTGTTCATCAAATTAACGTTTTAGACCTCTGCCTCAAGCCAGTAGAGGAAAAGACTCTTGGGAATCTAGATATTTTCAAACCATTCCACATTTGCAACTTCCTCCTCTGCCTATGCTTAAGAGACAGTGTATCCTGGCAGCTAAAAATGAGAGTGTGGGTCCTACCTTAGTTCATTAAGCCAGCTCCATCGTACACTTGAAATCACAAGTTGTGTGCTCTTTATTTCCTATTTATTTTAATACTGTTCCTCTCATTCTAAAAAATCAGAAACCCATTAGAGCAGTGCTTCTAAATTCTAATGTACATTTGGAGCATCTGGGGGGTCTTACTGAAATGCAAATATCTATTCTGCAGATCTGGAGTAGAGCCTCTGGTGTCTGCGTTTCCAACAGGGTTTCAGGTGACGCTGAGGCAGGAGAGTAAGGAGCTAAGAAAGTTCCTCGGCAAGAGGATTTCAGAAACTGAGACAGCTGAACAAATTGGCTGAGCAGTCTACAGCCAGATGCAGGTCACCAGGCGGAAAGCCCCGCGTGCCTAGTATGCTTAGCAATGGGCAATACTAGCGCTGGACCTCGCCCCCATGACCTTTCCTCCCCTGCATGTCGCTGGTTATTCAGTGTGGACCCCCTGACCTTTCCTCCCTAGAGATAATATCTAGGCCTCACTTGTATTTCAGCTCTAGGCTCAGAAGAGCAGCAAAACCAGGTGATAACTAAAGATCCCCGGCCCTGCGCTGGTGCTGACCAAGCAGTAGAAAGGGCACACCTGGAAAAGCTGATGAGTATTCTATTGAGAGCTCCTCTAAGACCGCCTCTAAACTGCCAGCCTTCAAAAACCCTCAAAACAAAGGACCCAGTGCGCACTCCCCTTCCCAAGAGAACACCTGCCTTTCCCCTCCCCCACAGGCCTGCATCTCCTAAACAATAAGGGATCCCAGGAGACTAGCAACCAGGGGAGCAATGGTCAGTGGCAGTCAGGGCTCACCCACTGAACCTGTCTCCAAGGCCCCCTTTTCTCTGACTTCCCAGCGAGCCAGGGCCATCCCACCCACCGTGGCTCATTTCTTTCCTATCACGTTTTTAGAGAGCCAAAGCAGCCCTGCCTAGACTCTCTCCTGCTCCTTCTTCTACCCTTGGCTCTTCCTTGTTTCACTGTTCCCGGCTTTAATAAACCTACTCTCAGAATCACCTGGACTTGTGCTGTGACATCTTTCCTGCATGAAGTCAAGAACCCACACACTGCCAGCCCACCCTAGGCAGACCCATTCAGGGCCAGCTCTCCCTTCTGGTAGCTGCGATTGTGACTAATAGAGGACCCCATTTCCCACTTGGAGCAGCTATGCTTAGTGTGCTATAACTGCAGTATGATATGAACTGTGCTGCAGAGTTTCACAGCAGTGAACTCGGAGAGCTGTGGGAGATAGTTTCATATGTATCCGGATTATAAAACAAAATAAACAATAGCAACAACAAAACAAAATTCCAACCCTCCACCAGCAGGTCAGATGATATGGTGAAAAACAAGGGGCACCACATTGGGCTTTAAAAGAACTACTTGCTCCCTTCCTGTCACCACAGTGCCGCAGTCAGGCCTATTAATGTGTCACCCTTTTCTCCAGCCCTTTGGCTTGCTCCTTCTCCTTTCCTCAGTCAATTTTCCATAAACACCACTTTATCACTTTATCCTCCTCCTTCCTCCCTCTAAGTCCCACCCCTCTCTCTTAAAAAAAAAATGTGTCTATTGATTTGAAAAAGAGAGGAAGGAAGAGGGGGAGAGGGAGAAACATCAATGTGAGAGAGAAGCATTGATGGCAACTGAACCTACAACCTGAGCATGTGCCCTGATGGGTAATGGAACCCAGGACCCTTCAGTCCACGGGACATTGCTCAACCAGCAGCCACACGAGTCAGGGTCCACCTCTCTTTCTTTCAGGATTCAACAGTATCTCCTTATTGCTTACCTCATCTACACTAATAAAAGACAAAGATGCTAAATGACCATACCTTCCCTATGCCCTAAGCCATGCCCACCAACCAATCAGAGCAACTATATGCAAATTAACCCAACCAAGATGACGGCTGGCAGCCACGGAGCTGGAGCAAGCAGGAGGCTTGGTTGCCCAGGCGATGGAGGAAGCCAAGCTTCCCGCCTGCCCTGAGCTGGCTGTGGCCTCCACTCATGGCAACAAAGTTTCAATTATAGAAGACAAATAAATCCCAGATCCCTGCTTCCAGCCAGCCTCCACTGGGAGCTTGGGTGGCTGGGGGTTGTGGCCAGCCTGCAAACAGCCCTCAGCCCCTCACCCAGGCTGGCCAGGCACTCCTATATAATAAAAGGGTAATGTGCAAATTGACCCTAACAGCAGAACGACTGGGAATGACTGGTCACTATGACACACACTGACCACCAGGGGGCAGACGCTCAATGCAGGAGCTTCCCCCTGGTGGTCAGTGCGCTCCCACAGGGGGAGCTCTGCTCAGCCCCAAGCCAGGCTGATGGCTGCCAGTACAGCGGTGGTGGTGGGAGCCTCTCCAGCCTCCTCAGCAGCGCTAAGGATGTCTGACTGCAGCTTAGGCCTGCTCCCCGCTGGCAAGTGGACATCCCCTGAGGGATCCCAGGCTGCCATAGGGATGTCTGACTTCCAGCTTAGGCCCAATCCCCCAGGGAGCAGGCCTAAGCCAGCAGGTGGTCATTTCCTAAGGGGTCCTAGACTGCGAGAGGGCACAGGCCGGGTTGAGGGATCCCCCCGAGTGCACAAATTTTTGTGCACTGGGCCTCTAGTCTAATATAATTACATTGATCAAATCTCTTCACCTCTTTAGGCCTATTTCCTTTGCTAGAGTTAAACAAAACTTTCATGGCTGAAGCCTTTCCAAAAGAAAGGGTTTATTGAGCCATATGCTGGCCAGAGAAGCCACAGGCCATTGGGCATGAACCCTGAACCAGCAGCAGCAGCAGGGCCAGACGGAGGAGACAACACGTCTGTGGTCCTGGGGTTGGCGGGCTCTTTGACACATCACGTAGGGGAAGGAAGATACAAGTTGTTTGGGAACAGTTTACATGGGCTAGAGGTAAAGGGGGTGGGGAGGGTGAGATGAGGCTAGTCCTGGGATCATACATAGTCCGTAGGGAGAAGTGTTTGTTCCTTTGGATTGTTTAGGGGCAGCAGCCTGGAACGTTCGTGTGTAAGCAAGAAGCAGAGGCTCCTGGTGGTCAGTGGCGCCTGGCTGTTCTCTTTAGATGATCATGGAAATAGCTACCTGGGAGTTAATTCAGGGTTTCAATGTAAGCTCAGGAACGTAAGCAGTTTTATGTTGGTTTTGCCCTGCAGTTGTTAACTGATTAGCACCCTCTGCCTTGCTGTAATTAATTTAGAACAGCTCAGAATTTTCTTCTTGTCACTAACTGTGCGCCTGTACTAGATGAGTATTTCCCCAAACCCGAGGGACCATCACAACCATCTCAGGAGCTTTAAACACAAACAGACATTGTACTGTAAAAATGTGCCCTACCCCAGATCTATTCTGCAGCGTCCCCAGTGTGGAGCCGGGGCTTTAAAATGCTCCCTCAAGTGAGTTTGTCCTCAGAACCGCTGAACTAAATGATGTTTAAGGTCTTCGCTTTTCTTAAAGTTCCTCAGCTCGACTTCTCTGTCCTATTTTTAGGGGTTTCCACTGCATAACTGTGCTTTATCTGTAACATTTCCTCAGCTTGGTGCTACTTCCCGAGGACAGAAGCCTTGTCTGTTGGGCGTTTTCTGTAGTGTTCCCCATTTCCTCCAGTACGCACCAGCAATATCCAGCACAAAACCAGGTACATGGGAGGTGATATGTAATATTTATTTAACGAGTTCCCTTCTCTCTTTGTGAATTTAAATCTTACCCTGTTGGTGGTGGTGTGAGAACAGCACCAGGTGTTTGATCAGACCAGGGGGGTTAGATTGGACCCGGGTTCTGGCTAGAAAAGAATTCAGAGTCAAGACTCAAACTATAAGAGAACATTTATTTGCGAAATCACAGAGGTAGAAGTAATCCATAGATGAAATGGGCTTAGGAAAGTAGTTATAGCAGCAAAGGAAGGGCTCTTGCTTAGAAGTGAGGAAGGTCAAAGTGATACACCTGAGGGGAGGTGGGGAGGGAAAGGGAAAGATGAGGGAATGCTCTTGAGGGGGTGCTGGATACTCTGACCAAAGGGTTTTAAGGGTGGAGGTCCCAGGGAACGGTCTCAATAGAATATTGAGCAGCTTTCTAGGGGTGTCCTTTCAGGGTTGTTAATTTTTTAAATAAAATCATTTTAAGTAAATAAATTCATTCCAATACTTACTCTGCAGACTTAAAATTCAAAAATTGTTTTTGAAAGACTTTTTTTTAAGGTCAGAATATACAAGTGTAGTTGTGAAAGGAAAAGAAAATCTAGACTTAAGAGGCAAAGGAATAATGACCCTGTAAAAATATGGAAATGTATGTATGCATTATAGCTTTAAAAGTCAAAAGTACAATGGTGTTAATACTAAGTGAAATTATGTAAAGCATTTATGCATGTAAATAAAAACAGAAAATAATATGTGAAAATATTTAAAACCAGAAAATAACATAGGTTGTATTTAGATGATAGGAATAAGTAGGATTTTTCCCCTTTTGTATATTTTTATATCATCATGACATCATCTTTTCAAAGGGTTATTTTAAAGTAGAAGTAAGTGTGCAGGGAGGATTGATAAGAGGAAGGAAACAAAGGAGACTGGGATAGCTTAACTCATATAAGAGGAGTAAACAATTTTGATATAACATTTGAATTAAAAAGAAAATGTTATGCAAGGAAACATTAATCCCCAAGTTAAATATAGCCAAAACTGTATTTAGAATTTGGGGACTTCTGTATTCTCATAAATACTTAAACTCTGGATGCTAGCACCTCCTGTTTCCTTCCCCACTTACCGACAATGAACTTGCTACTCGAGGCCCAGTGTTTGCTGTTGGGGTTGCCAGAAAACAAGTCTTTGCCCTCAAGTGAACTTTGGGGCAGGGCGTGGTGGGGGATAAATCTGTAGACCATTTTAGAGCAACACTGATGGGAATTGTAATGGACATACGCTTAGGGTGCGATGGGAGCACAGAGGAGGGACATTTGCTCCACCCCTTTTCATCCCTTGGGGAGGTGACACCTGAGCTGTTACTTGAAGGATCAATCTATGGAGGGTAACCAAGGAGAGGAACAGGATTGTGACAACATAATTGAAAACAGAGGAGGGGGTCAGGGGTGTAATGGAGAGTCACTAAATGATTCAACCTGGTTGTGTTCAGATTTGAGTTTTATTATTTTTGCCATAGAGTGGAGGATGATGTTGAAAGTACAAGAGTAGATGGAAGCAGGGAGAAGAGCAAGAAAGTAATTGAGTGAGAGATGAGAACCAAATAAATCAGTAAGAGGAAATGGGCTCAAGAAATATTACGGATGTAAAAGCTGTAGAACCTGGAGGTTTCTGTTTTCCAATGTGGATGACAGTGAGAATGCTGGGACCACTGAGAGAGGGAATACCTATCTCAGAAAGGCGATCTCTACCTCTAGGTTAGAAGTTAGTCTTGTGTGTATCTGCATAGGCAAACTCAGTGGGTTGTAATGACATGTGTAATATGTATGATGAAGAAAAGCGTGAAAGTGCTATTATTCCAGATGCTCTTTTGGGCCTCTGGGAACTAGTGAAACTTAGACATTAATATTATAAGGTGATACTAGAATTCAAGAGGTTTGTGTTTTTTTAACTCCAAGATTTTTTTTTTTTTTTTTACTCCTAAAAGGTCTCATCTGCTATTTATTCTTCACTCACTGTCTCTTTGTCATAGGATATTTATAAGTTGCCGAGGGATAAATAATATCATGAAAATACTATGTTTGATGTAACTTCTTGATTCTCATAGAATACTAAGTGTTGTATGTTTTTTAGGGTGCTTTAAAGCCTATGGACCTAAATAGTATCATCAAACTCCTTGGAGAGACTGCTCAAGTAAGCTTTGAGAGAAAATGTTTCTGCTATATCATTTATAAATTGTGATGCCCCTGAAAGGTAACTTGTATTCCCCCCAACATAAATCTCATTTCTCTCCTCTTGAAACCATTTCAAATATTCAAGGACTGTTTAAATTTAGTATGAATATAGTTAACCTGGTAAGGAAGATGGAGGAGGAGACTACATTTGGTTTTGTGGAATGGACAAATCCATGGTAAATATAAACAGAAGGAATCATAGGAGTAGAAAAAAGACTCCTCTAGCCTTTGTATTTGCTTGTTGCCAAGTATGATGTGGGGACCAAGGACAGAAAAAGTGTATCATGATGTACTACCTAAGTTTTTCTGATTTGAAATCAGGTTAGAGATACATATTCACAATACTCATAGGTAGTTTATTTTGATGGAAAAATTATATAGAATGTAATGGAAATAAAATTATTTTAGATAAAACAAAATTGAGAGCTCAGCATTGGGAAAAAGGATAATAAATACATATGCATATATTTCCACACACCCCACTCTCCTGACATTACCCAAGAACTGACTGACTGCCTAAAAGCCAGCACACACTGTGAAATTACTACAAGATGAAGAGTGCATCCTTTTAGGAAGTGGAGGGTGACAGTGGTAGAGCCAATCAAAACAAAACAATGTCCTGTGATTAGTAGGCGCCAAAATTTAGTCATTGTTTTAACATTTTTTTAGTCTCTGCATTTTATATAGAAGAAAAAATACAATAAAAATAATGACTCCATAAGAATTTATCTTTTGCTGGCTATGTTTGTTGTGAAAGTTATTTTTAATTGTAAATATATGTGCATTTTTATAAGAAGAAAATTCAACTACATATAGCTCCTACTAGTTGTTATTAAGTATAGACAAAAAAAGGCGGGGGAGGGGGGGCGCTATAAAAAATGCCACAGCCTCTTACAAACAATTTAAAGATTAAAAGGATAGAAGTGATTCAGTCATGAAAAGATATCACCGTATAGGGTTTTGTTTTGTTTTGTTTTAATTGGCTGAAGCTATTTAGTTTGTACCAGTACACTGGGAATATTTTAGATTACAATTTCTGGAGTCAAGTTGCCAAATTTGACTCCTAACACCACCACTTATTATCTGTCTGATTTTGGACAAATTGCTTAGTGTTTCAGTTTGAGGTTTTTATTCTGGAAAAGAGGAATAATAACAGTATTTTCCTAATGGGGTTGATTTGAAGATTGGCATGTATGTATGGTTCCTAAATGGTCCCTGGCACAGAAAAATGCTCAACATGCTTCCAATGTTGTTACTGTTATTTCTGGAAACAATTACTGCTCTTGTAGTAATCTAGTTTTAATTTTCAATTTCCTAATCAAATTTCCTAATCTTATTTTTACCTTCATGTTTAAGGAAACATTTTATCGTCCTTGTATTATAATACAGTAATTGAATTACAATTTTAATGGACAATTTCTTGATAATTTTAATGTCTACTTTCTTTTTATATTAATAAAAAAGTTATATCGCACCAGTTTTAATAGCATAAAAGAACTAAAACAGATCATTTGTTTTAGGATGATTTAGAAGAAAAACAACTTAAATCTGTCAAGACATTGGTGCAGTATTATCAGAATGGATTTGTATCCTTTACTTATATATGTATGCTTATTTCATTTATCCTGAAATGGGAGAATTTTAATTAGAAAATGTATTCATTTCCTATTGCTACTGTAAGTTACCACAGAGTACCTTACAACAACATAAAATTTTTGTCTTATACTTCTGGAGGTCAGAAATCCAAAATCTGCTTCACTGATCTAAAGGGAAGGTATTCCTTTTGAAGCTCTGAGGAAAACGCATTTCCTTGCCTCTCCGGCTTCTCGAGGTGGCCTGCATTCCTCAGCCACTGGCCCCTTCCTCAAAGTATCATCACTCTCGCCTCTGCTTCTCTCATGGCATTTCCTTCTCTGGTACTCCGCTGCCTCTCTCTGTCCCTTATAAGGACCCTGTGATTACATTGGTCTATCTGGATAATCTAGGGCAGTGGTCGGCAAACTCATTAGTCAACAGAGCCAAATATCAACAGTACTTCTTCAAAATAGACTCACCCAGGCCGAAAACCGACTTCTGCGCATGGGCCACAAAGTTTCAATCGCACTGTACGTGCGTGCCAGCACGTGGTATTTTGTGGAAGAGCCACACTCAAGGGGCCAAAAAGCCACATGTGGCTCGCGAGCCGCAGTTTGCCGACCACGGACCTAGGGTAACTTTCTCATCTCAAGATTTTTAACTTAATCACTACAAAGTCCCTTTGTCACGTAAGGTAATTTCACAAGTTCTGGGCATTAGGATGTGGACATCTTTGGACAGGCCATTCTGTTTACCACAGAAAATAGCTAACATTTTGGGGGGTTTTTATAAAATTATATTTTTCATTTATCAGAAAATGTAAAATTGAAAACAGTACAATGCAGTTAATTTGGCATAGATAATGGCAGTTCTGAAGACACAAAGAGACAGTGGATAAGGTTAGGAGGGCCACGTAATCTTATTTCTACCAATTTACTTGAGTACTTCTACTGTTAATAAGCTTATCATATTATAGGCATAATGGCACCTCATGAAAGTTGTTAGGAAGACTAGATGAGAAGATATGCAAAGTGCTTGATAATCTGCAAAACATTACATAAACATAAGATAGTATCCTCACTAAATATACCACCTTGATCAGAATATGTGGAAACTCCTGTGTCTCAAAACTCATGCTTAAGAACTAATTTGTTGTTGGGTAGCTGCTGTTGTTTTAATCTTTGCAGAATATAATAATTTTGCCACAGGAAACCCTCACTTTCTGTAGTCATCTTGCTACAAAATCTATGAGATTTGTTTATGTACCAGTTGGGGTAATAGAAAAGGTACTTTTACCTGAAGATCTGTAGGTAGTACATTTTACTTTCATACTAGTTTTAAATGAAATAAGATCTCAACCAATTTAAATCTTAAAAACAAGAGAATGCATCTCAATAATATTAAGAAAGTGATGCAGAAAAGTAAGATAGGTTTGGGTTTCTTATTCTGGAGCAGTTAATGTTTACTGTGAGTGGGTGGAGATGAAGGATATGATTAAGCCATTAAGTTAATTTTTTTCAACTAAATCCGTAGGGTAGTAGTTGGTAATCAAATTCTAAAGGTGTCGTGAGAGGAGAAAAAAATATTTTGAGTAAAGGGTCACTGAGACAAAACTTAAATAATATTTCTTTAAAAATATGGTTCTAAGTTTTCCTCTTTAGTCTTTCAAATTAGTATAATTAAAAAAGAGTCGCCCAGCCAGTGTTGCTGAGTGGCTGAGCATTGACCTGGGGACCAAGAGATCGTGGTTCAATTCCCAGTCAGGGCACATGCTCGGGTTGGGAGCTTGATCCCCAGTTGGGGACATGCAGGAGGCAGCCAATCAAAGATGTTTCTCTCTCATCGATGTTTCTATCTCTCTATCCCTCTCTCTTCCTCTCTCTAAAAAAATAAAAATATCAATAAAAACATATTTTTTTAAAAAATGTCAACCATATTTAACATTATAGGAATTCTATAGATTTTCTTGGCACAAGTGTTATAAAGAATATGTTCATAAATGTAAATATATGAATCTTAATTTTATTTCTTAACTAAAAATACTAAAGCCCCTAAGGGATTTGGCACAGATATTTAAAATTCTGAATCTGTGTGCAGAAAAAATTGAAAACCAGCCTTCTTTTCTAGAACCTGCCTATAATATCATAAAATTATGTGGGTAAGTTGTTTTCCTTTAACTTTATTTTATATTAGAATGCAGCATTTTATTATGTTTTATTTTGCATTATAAAATATTATGCATTATGTTGTAGCAAAGTGATGCAGAACTCAGAAAACTTCACTTGATCACTTACCAGCAGTTGGTATTGCAAAGGTAGTCAATTTTATTGTAGTCTGAGATCGCTTGCCACAAGCGATTAAACTGCAAATATATTTTAAAAAATTTTCATAATAACTTGCTCTCACAGTAATGATAAATCTGAGATGAAACCAACAAATTGTAATATCTTTAGAGAATCCTTGAGACAATTTATGGACAATGCTTAATAGTTTTAGTCTAGTTTTCTTCTCTCTTTAGAAAATTTGACTCTCAAAGATGTATTAGGTTCTGATTCATGTTTAATTGATTTTCCAAATTTGAATAAATAATAAAATGTCAATTATTTTTGATATATGTTTTTAATGTAATTGGAGGTCAGAATTATAAAATTAATTTGCGCAATCCTCTCTGCTGTTGCTTCTCCAACCATTTTGGGGAACTAGGAATATTTTCTGCTTCCTTTCTGCCACATATTGGCTAATCAAGATACACATTAAATCTATTTTTAGTTTTCAATAAAATATAGTAGAGGAGATTTCTTAAAGTAGAAATAAACCTTCCTGGCAATTTAACCTTTGAAATTTTCCTACCAATTTAGCTTTTTAAATGCTGTGTTTCTTTTAATATGCAAATATATTAGTGAGACTGTATACCTAGAAGGTTTTAACTCACATTGTTAGATTTAGCAGCAATAATATTTAAATTTTTATAATTACATTTACTTTTTTGATATCTGAACAAAATAATAAAAGATAATTTATTGAATGCCTTTGTAATGCCTTCCTTTTTAATAGAGACCATGAAAAATAAAGACCTAAAGAATCACTCTGGTGCTTTCAAGGAACTTTAATATAAATTGGCAATTATGATATTGATGTGAGATCACATATATAAAATGTTTTCAAATTTTGAAGCTGTGCAAATCCTAGAAAACCAGGTTCATAAATATGACTTTCAACATCAGTGCCCCTACAGAGCTCCATCAAGGACTTGTTCTCTATGAGAACTGTGACTAAGTATTTCATTATGTAATATGATAAATCTTTTTATTTTTTATTTTATTTTTAAAAAATATATTTATTCATTTTTTACAGAGAGTAAGGGAGAGGGATAGAGAGTTAGAAACATCGATCAGCTCCTGCACACCCCCTACTGGGTATGTGTCCGCAACCAAGGTACATGCCCTTGACCGTAATCGAACCTGGGACCCTTGAGTCCGCAGGCCGGCGCTCTATTCACTGAGCCAAACCGGTTAGGGCGATGAATCTTTTTATTTACACTCTTTACTTTCCTTCATATTTCATAATTGTTCTTATTATTTTATTTTCCCCCTACTTTCCTAATTTCTGCTTTTGTCCTGCATTTCTCCATACCTCATCCTCACTTGATTCACTTTTCAAGATATTTTGGGGAGATAAAAACATTGAAAGTAAAATACAGCCTTTCTGTTTGGGCCTATGAGTAGTATGCTTTTCTTATTGCATCAGAACTATAATGCTTGCCCTAGCTGGTTTGGCTCAGTGGATAGAGCATAGGCCTGCAACCTGAAGAGTCCGGGTTTGATTCCAGTTCAAGGGCACATGCCTGGGTTGCAGGCTCTGTCCCCAGTAGGGGGCGTGCAGGAAGCAGCCGATCAATGATTCCCTCTCATCATTGAAGTTTCTATCTCTCTCTCTCTCCCTTCCTCTCTGAAATCAATAAAACTATATTTTTTAAAAAGAACTATAATGCTTATCTTTTTTCCTACACTTTTTGGTGGAAAACTCTTCTGATGCTTTAACTTTTAGGTTGTTTCCTTTGGTAGCAAAGGAAAAAGTTTGAAGGACAAGTATAACTAATTTTTAGAGTTTAATATGTTATTTGTTGCAAATGAAAAATTTTGACCAACACTTGAAAGAAACTTCTGTGGCATTTATAAAATTTTCCTTTTCATAGTTTGCCCTTGAAGTATCTTTCAATTCCAATTGGTGCATATATATAAATCTCCACATGTGATATTTCTAAATGCTGTTTTTCAACTATTTGGTTAATTTTTCTTGAAAAGTGTTAATTAATAGTCCTATATATAGTACATATAAGATATAATATATGTATTATATTTTAAACAAATAGTATAGGAGCTTCAAATTTTAAATTCATAAAATGCCAACATAGTTTTTTCTTTGTGTTTAAGAACTTTTATATCTCCTTTGACATTTAGACAAACGACCTAGGTTCTACTGCCTTATATTTTATAATTTCTAAATAAATATTTTTCAAATAACTTAGATTATAGTAATTGTGAAATGTGATCCTAATATAATTAATATTTGTTAACTTTAATTTCTTAGTGTCTCACAAAATATACCTGTTATTTTGTGGACAGTAACTGATCCAGTTAATAAGGGAAAGGTCATTGCCTTTTAAGAACAAATAGACCATTGATCTGTTAACTAGTTTCAGAAACTTCAGAAAAAGCCCTTGAACAGCTTTTAAGTTACAGGTAAGCCCGGATCTGTGATTTGTATCAGATTATCCATTGTCTTCCTAATTTTGATGGAAGTACACCTATAATCCCTTATTATTTTGCCTCCAAAGAAAAAGAGGATTTTTAAGGGTTTTGGGGGTTTTTTTGATGCAGTATTGCAAGATGGCTTGCTTAACCCTCACCTTTTGTCCACCTCTCTTCACTTTTATAAGTCTACTTTAGTTTATTTATTATTGTTCAGTTAGTTAGAAACACACACAAAAAATGTTTTTGATAGTCATCAATTCCCCAGGGGTAAAGAATAGAATATTATTCTCATTTTATTCTTTAGAAAAGAAAATTTTCCCTGCTTTCCGCGTGATGCTTCAGTTAAGGACTTTATGAAACATAACTTGTACATTCTTTATTCTTATTGAAGCTTGCCATTCTTGAAAAAGAAAGGATCAGATGAAATAACATATGCTGAAGATACTGCTAAATCAATTGCACTTCTGGGTAAGTTAAGATTTTTTTTTAAGATAGAGGATTATAATATATCAGGCCTGATTGATAAGAAAGAAATGTCTCTAAATTCGACTAAGAGTCCTTCTCCAAATCTAAGCTCTTTTCTTGTTTTCTGGTTGAAAATTTATCATAGTGTGCTTGGTGATCATTTTTGTATTGTTTTCCCCTCGAGTCTTTTATGATACCAACAAGACTCTGTGTTCCTTCAATATAAGGACTGGCAGATACTTCTGTGTACTTATTTGTCTTGATGTTATTTAGTGCAATTAAATATTTGTTAACTTTTTTTGTAAATTAGAAGTATGTGTCCCTCTCAGTAAGCCCAAAAATGTTTTCAACTTTGCACTCTAATAATTCCTAGAATCATTGAAAGCCAAATTTTTCAGTAAACAACCTAATCATAAAATGGTGGAACATTAAGAACTTGAGCATAATATACATAAACATGAAGGTAACTGTGTTTTCTATTCAAAATATGAAAAACATGAAACAGCAGGCTTTGCTTTTTGGTTATTGCTTGATTTTCTAAAGAAAGAAAATAATTTTCTGGGAAATGAAATCAGTCAAACACTAGCTCCTTGATTCAGCCCCTGAGTACATGACAGCATGTTCCCCAAACAATTCCTACATTAAATTTATACTTATTAATTTAGGTCCTTGTTTGTATAAGGGAACCAAAAGGTACAGAATTGTCCCAGCAAATGAAAAATAAGTACTTACTGAACTGTTATGTTCCCAGTATTATGTTCCATACTGAAAAATGAGAGAGACTCAACTGGAATAAGTAAAAAGCATTTTTAATTTTTAACATAGACACTAACACTTTTAGGTCTAAATATGTTTCATAGCTCCTAATTGTAGATATCTTCAGAAATATTATTATGATCTAGAGTAGGTGAAATATCAAGGAAATTAGGATACACACGAGGAGTTAGATAAGGTGACCTTAAGGAGCAGGTGGGCTGAAAACTAATGGAAACTTGAATGGTGAATCTCTACCATCAGTGGAAATTTACAATAGGAAGCCAACAAAAGAAGACCTGGTATAACAGATAAAAAGCGGAAGTTTGGTTGATAATATTTTAAAAAATGCCGCTATTGCCCTTATTGTTTTTAAATGCTGCCTCCAAGAGCGTTGGCAGACGTTTATATGATAAATGCAAGGCCCATTTCTTACTGTGTCAGTTTGCTCTTCGCTGGATGACTGCCCACCTACCAAACACACTCCCGTCGCACTGGAGGGCAATATGAACCCAGTTTAAAACGAGCTCTCTTTATATTGTTCTTTAGATCCCACATATAAATGAAATCATATGGTACTTATCTTTCTCTGGCTTATTTCACTTAGCATATTATTCTCCAGGTCCATCCATGCTGTTGAAAATGGTAAGATTTCATTCTTTTTCCTGACTGAGTAGTATTGTGTAAATGTACCATGGCTTTTTATCTACTCATTCACTGATGAGCACTTGGGCTGCTTCCAAATCTTGGCTATTGTAAATAATACTGTATTGATTTTCTGATGAGATATTTTTAAAAAACATATTACTAACACTTTCTGCTTAAATTTGCAAATAAACTATGACAGTGTTATTAAATAGTATTCATTTATCTTTCTGGCAGGTAACTTAATGAAAATACCAAGTTCTGAATTGAGGATACAAATTTGTAAGTGTATTGTTGACTTTTATCATGCAGAACCATCAAAGAAGCATATTACAGGTGAAGTTTTCAATGGTCTTTCAGTAATAACATCCTATCCTATATAATAAAGAGCTAATATGCAAATGGTCATCACACCCTCATACCGTCACACTGTAATGGCTTAGACACTCAACACTGGGGAAAGAGGATTGGGGACCAGCCAGGCACAAATGAGTTCACGAGAGAGGAATGGGAACCAGCCAGGCTGTGGCCCGGGAGAGGGACAAGCCGCCCGCCCCACGGTCCCGGGTGCATGTGGCTGCGGCCCGGGCGAAGCTGCCTGCCCACGGTCCCCTGTGGCTGTAGCCAGCCTGAGTGAAGCCAGCCCAGGTCCTGGGTGCCTGTGACCGGCCAGAGAAGGGAATCCTGGGTCTCAGGTGCAGGGCGAGGCAGATGCGGTTAGGGGCGATCAGGCCAGCAGGGGAGCAGTCAGGGGCAATCAGGCAGGCAGGCGAGAGGTTAGGAGCCAATGGTCCCGGATTGCCAAAGGCAGTCAGACATCCCCTGAGGGGGTCCCAGATTGGAGCGGGTGTAGGCCCGGCTGAGGGACGCACCTCCTGTGCGCGAATTTTGTGCACCAGGCCTCTAGTCCTATATAAAAGGCTAATATGCAAATCAACTGAACGGTGGAGTGACCAGTTGCTATGACTGTACTGACCACCAGGGGGCAGATGCTCAACACAGGAGCTGCCCCCTGGTGATCAGTGCACTCCCACAGGGGGAGCACGGCTCAGTCAGAAGCCAGGCTCACTGCTGGTGAACACAGCTGCGGTGGCAGGAGCCTCTCCCGCCTCTGCGGCAGCACTAAGGATGTCTGACTGACTGTTAGGCGACATCCCCCAAGGGCTCCCAGACTACGAGAGGGTGCAGGCTAGGCTGAGGGACCCACCAAGTGCATGAATTTCGTGTCTTTATAAAACAGAATATTCTGTCCCATTTCTCTTTGAAATTGGGAAGAGAGTGGGATCATAAATGCAGCATATCAAAAAAAATTTTTTTTGTAGTTTCAAGCTCTTTGATCATTTTAAATTAAAAATTGTATACATTTTTAAATTTTAGATTTGCATGATATTTTTATTTTGATGCTAAATATTTATGATGTAATTTTTAAAGTCATACCCAAATTAGTGTAATTACTATTATTAGTTAATGTCAATAGTGTTGCTAATATTATGTATTCTTTTCTAATTGTGTGAATCACACTGAATTGGGTGATATTAAGCAAAAAGCACTGGCACTGTGGAGGATATCATGTCATAGTTTCTATAATTTATAATCAATCTAGGAAGGGAGAGAATATATAAATTATATTTTTTAAGTTACATGTTTCTTAAGATAAGTGGAAATAAGACGCCGTGGTAGAAAACAAAGATTACTTCTATAACTAAGGGAAAATGGGAAGATATCTGAAGTAAAGAAATGAATAAAAATATTTTTAAATGCCAGATTTGCACTATTGATGAGACAGACAAGTGGAAGTGTGTTTGGTAGAGAGTAGACATTAGATACTAAAAGAAGAGACCAGAAATACAGGTTTGGATTTTATACAAATAGAGATGAAATTGAAGCCATCAGAATGGTTGAGTTTGCCAAAAGCAAGGGAACAAGAATAACATCATGGAGAGTGTCCCTACTGAATTTTGGGAAAAAAAATGATTCAAAGAAATTGTCAGCGAGGGGAGATTTAAAGAGAGGAAGAGAATTTAAAGATGGGCATGTCTTGAGTGCCAATGAGTGAATGTTTGATGAAGGAAGAAATGGTCTCAGTGGCCAATACTGCAGAGGCTTCTGTAATTGAGGAATGAAAAGGCCAACGTGGTATCTGGAAAGTTGTGGCTAATCTTTGTCAGATTATTACCATAAAGTGGTCAGAGCAGGTGCAGAATTAAAGAGCATTCTGGAAGTGGAGGCAATGGGAGTGAATGCAGACTTATATTTTAAGGTCAGAAGAAGAAGGAAGATGTCTTAACAGCCTAACTGGTAGCAAGGTCAAAGAAAAATGTGTTGTTTTGAATTTGTCTAAAAATGAAGTTTGTAGGCCTAGGAACAAGAAGCTGGTATGTGGGAGATGGGAGGGTGAAAATCCCAAAGTAAGCATGAGAGGATGGAATTAAGAGCAAAAGCTGAGGGTTAAGCTCGGTAAAGTAGAGGCACTCTTCTTTCAGAGAGAAAGGGACGTGTATGAGATGCGACAGAGGAGGGCAGGTGCCGAGAGGTGAGCTTGACCTTACATTGGTCGGGCTCTGAAAATTAGGAGCCATCGACCAGGCTCTCGCTCACTGTTTCACAGTTGATTTTAAGTGATGGGCACAGCTGGACATTTGCGGTCACAGCTGAAACGTCCTCAGTAGAGCAATTGTAAGAGACACAGCCCGGGAGATAGGAATCAAGGCCTTAATATTCCTATGTCTTTTTATAGAATTGTAAACTCAATAGAAAAAGATACAGTGATATAAAGTATACGTTTTGGTCTGTACCTACCATAGAGCATTATGCAAGTAAAACTTATGATATGTGACAAGGGGAAAAGCTTACTATAAAATGTTTAGTGGCTGCAGTACAATATACAATTCTGCATATATGTAGTATATTGTTAAAGTAATATGCATACAGTAAAGTGTCAGCAGAAAATATAACAAAGTGTTAATATTGTTATCTCTAGACGGTGAAATTACAGGCAATTTTTGTTTTCCTCTTCGTACTTTTTAAGTGCCGAACCCATCACAGGAGGGGACGGCCTTGAACAGGGTCAGACCTCAAATTCAGAAAGATAGGACAGACTGAGAGACATCTCAGAACTATGGCAAGAAATCTAGTTGGTTTCAGAAGTCAAGAAGTCAGGGAGGTAGGTGAGTTATATCACTGAGAGAGAAAATAGCTGCATCTCAGGTGAGCAAACATGCACTGATGTTCCTTTAATCTCATTACATGTAGTTGGGCAGGCACCTGTGCAATTATGTCAAAAGGAGAGGTAGTATTTCCCATGAAAGCTAAGGAAGAAGGAAATTCTTGTGGGACATAACGCCAAGAATCAATCTTCCCTAACATGCCGTTACATTCACTAGCATCTATTAGAACAGCATTACCTCTTATTTCATTGCCAACATCACATAATTGCTGGTTTTTGAAAGCACTGAAGTAATGCGTTGACTTGAACAGTGAAAACATTCAGTGTCTGTAATCATGACATTTTTCTTTATGGAAAGACATATCTACTGACAAATAAAAAATATTGTTCCTTTTCAGAATTTAAGATGTGCCCCAAAATTTGTGGGATCAGCAAACTATGGACCACAGGCCAAAAGGGCCCACTGTAAATAAAGTTTTATTGGAACACAGCCATGCCCACTTATTTTTATATTGTTTATGCCTGTTTTTATGGTATGGTAGCAGAGTTGAGTATTTGCAACAGAAACCTTATGACCCACAAGGTCTAAGATTGCTGGCCCTTTATAGAAAAAGTTTGCCTGTCCCTCTGCTAACCATTTTAATATGCCATACACTTTTTAAACATTTTGTTGTTATTGTTGTTGTTTATTGATAAATTACTCATTCCTTTGTTTTAATGTAGATAATACTATGTGAAATAACTGCACATATTTATTAACTAATTGTTGTTAGGTTACCAGCAAGCTAGCTCAGCATATAAGATTCAAATGGCTGAAGTCGGAGGATTGGCAAAAACAATGGTTCAGTCATTGGCCTTGCTTGAAAATCAACTTGTTGAGAAACTTTGGGTACTTAAAGCTCTGCAACATCTCTCAACTTCCGGTTTGTATATTATTAAATATGAACACTTCATTCCCCACTAATTTTGTTTCTATTTAATGTCAAGACTGTAACATACATTATTTTTATTTAAATTTATTTTCAGAAGTTAATTGTACTTTAATGATGAAAGCATATGCAGCCAGTGGCATCTGTGCTCACCTCAACGACCCAGATCCCTCGGGGCAGCTTCTGTTTCGCTCATCAGAAATACTTTGGAACTTACTAGAGAAATCGTCAAAAGAAGAAATCATAAAACAACTTAGTAACCTGAAGTGTTTGCTGTAAGTATATGTGGTTAACTAGGAATGTTTTTTAACCTTGTGACATAACTAACATTTTTGTTTGCATTTGTGTTTCATTGGGCTTTGATTCATGTAATGGCTATGTTTCAGGACGTCTCTTTTGTGCCGTTGTATAAATGCATCTGCACATAACAAGCCCCCCTTTTTTTTCTACGTAGAAAGGATTTAAAGTAGCTTGTTAACAAAACTAAATTATGTCTTTGGATATGTATAAAGTAAAATTAGACATTTAAAAGAACTATTTCGTTTGTTCATTCAATAAATGTATTTTTGAATACTTATTGTCTTCTAATTACTGAATAAACATTAGCAAAAATAAGAGTAAGCCTGTGAGTTACTCATTCATTTATTTATTAAGTAACTATTGTTTTCTCCGTGCCAAGTTCAGTAGTAGGCCATAGAAAGACAATTGAAAACAATACAGACATGGTCTCTGCTCTCCTGGAATTTGTTATGTTAGGAGAGACAGACAATTAAATAGGCATCTAATTGTGAGCCTACTAAATGCTAGGAAGACATTATCGTAAGGTGCCACGTGTTTTCCAGGAGAGGGTGAACCAGTACGTTTTTGTTTGCAAGTGACTGAACATTCAACCCAACTGATTGAAGCAATTATAAGAAATTTATGAGCTATTGTAACTACAAAGTCAAGGGTAAAACTGGTTTCATGTGCAGCTGTATTCAAAGTCTAGACTCACAGCATCATAACCCCAAATCACACCGGAGAGAAAGTGTGCTCTTCTGAAAGCACAAAGAAAATTCTTGGAATTGAGTCCCTGTGGGCCCTGAGCATTCAGTGTTGGCCATATGCTCATTCCAGAGTGAATTACTAGTGACCAAGAGAAAGAATGCTCTTTGGCTAAAAGGAAGCTGAGGTCTGCTCACAAAACCAAAAGTGAGGAAAGAGGGAAGCCTAAATAAAAACAAGGGTACTGTTATCACAAGAAGGGCAAGTGGGCCCTCGGAAGCAAAGCCACAGCTGCGCATTGTGCAGGGAGCCTGGCCCAGACTCGGAGAGTTACTGAATGCTTCCTCATGAGCCCTAACCTGGTATCTGAATAATAAATACAAACTGGCAACACAGGAGGGTTTTGCATGCAAAGAGCGTCCATGACAAGAGAACAGAAGTGAAAATAGAATGTAGCAAAATCAAAAACCTGAAAAATTCAATGTGGATGAGAGCAGAAAGTTCAACGTAGAATAGTGAGGGATGAAGCTAACAATGTTAGCAGGGACCGTAACATGAAAGGCCTGATAAGCCATGATAAGAAGGTAGGACTTTATCCTAAGAACAAAGAAAAGCCTTTAAGTACTTTTAAAAAGGAAAATGCCCCTCAAAGTTTTTAAATAAATAAATAAATAAATAAATAAAATTTAAAAAAAGGAAAATTATGTGACTGACTCTTAATTTTAGAGTAGTCACTTTGATCATCATGCGTAGATTGGATTGATCGATTCTCACTACAGTGAATTAAAGGCAGATTTGGAAATATAGAAAAGATTAGAAATGCTTTGCAATGAATAATATAATATGAAAAAGGAGATTTTGTTGACAGACACATAAGTAATATTTCCATAAGAATATGGTTTTAAAAGTACGATTTTACTTTCCAGAACTTTAAAGGAAGTTTTCAAACATCTGTTTATAAGAGGTTTTAGTGATTATGACCGTCAGCTTAGAAACGATATATTAGTGATCACTACAATTATATCTCAAAATCCTGAAGCACCAATGGTTGTAAGTATGAGTACATTGTATTAATTTAGATTGTGGATGGGAGTGTGGGGAGGGCGCAGTAAACTATGTCCTAATATTTATGTACTTTGTTGTAATGCCAAGTTTTGTGATAATTCAGAATGGTCACCAGTATAGTCACACTCTGCCAATTCTTCTTCCTGTTGCCTTTGGAAACTTGAGGTATTCATCTAATCTAATAAAAGAGAAACATGCAAATTGACCACACCTCCGCTATGCCCCAAGCCACACCCTCTAGGCAATCAGAGCGACTATATGCAAATTAACTCAACCATGATGGCGGCCGACAGCCACGGAGCTGGAGCAAGCAGGAGGCTTGGTTGCCCCAGCAATGAGGGAAGCCATGAAGGAAGCCAATGAAGGAAGCTTCCCGCCTGCCTTGGCCAGCCCTGAGCTCTGCTGAAGACAACAAAGTTTCAATTATAGAAGACAAATAAATCCCAGATACCTGCTTCCAGCCAGCCTCCACTGGGAGCTTGGGTGACTGAGGGCCGTGGCCAGCCTGCAAACAGCCATCAGCACCTAACCCTGGATGGTCAGACCCTCATGGGGTGAGGGTCCCCACTGGGGGGCTTGGCCAGCCTGCAAACAGCCATCAGCCCCTCACCCAGGCTGGCCAGTCCCACCAGCAGGACCCCCCCAACCCTGAAGGGGGTGAGGCCAGCCTGAAAAGGGCCCACAGCCCCTCACCCAGGCTGGCCAGGCACCCAAGCAGGACCCTCACCCTGATCCGGGAAACGGCTCCCAGGCTTCCAGAGGGATGTCTGACTGCCAGCTTAAGCCCAATCCCCCGGGGAGCGGGCCTAAGCCAACAGGTGGTCACCCCCCACCCAGGGGTCCCAGACTACGAGAGGGCACAGGCTGGGCTGAGGGACACCCCCCCCCCCAGTGCACAAATTTTTGTGCACTGGGCCTCTAGTGTTTTATAATTTACTCACATATTTACCATTTATAATGTGTTTCTTTCCTTCCTGATGATATGAATTTTTAGCTGCTATTATTTCTCTTTTACCTGAACAACTTGCTGTACTATTTCTTGTGATGCTGGCTGCTGGCAACATATTCTCTTAGTTTTGTGTATTATTCTTATCTGAAAATGTCTTTAATTCACCTTAATCCTTGAAATCTATGTTCGCAGAATATAGAATTCTAGGTTAAAGTTTTTATTTTTTAGCACTTTAAAGCTATTATTCCACTGTCCTTGGGCCTCCATTGTTTCTGATAAGAAGTATTCGTTATTTCAAATTGTTCTCCTCTGTTTTCTGGCTGTTTTTAAAGATTTTCACTCTGTCTTTGGTTTACAGCAGTTTTACTCTGATAAGCCAAGATATGATTTTCTTTGTATTTGTCCTACTTGAGGTTCATAGAACTTCCTGAATATGTCAATTTAGGTCTTTCATTAAATTTAAAGAATTTTTGGCCATTATTTTTCAAGTGCTTTCAACCTCATTCCTTCTTCTTCTTTTGGCACTCTGATTACATGTATGGTCCATTTTTTTATATTGTCCCATAGGTTTGTGAGGCTCTGTTCACTTTTTCCTATTACTTTTCTCTCTATCCCTCATATGGGATCATTTGTATTGTTCTATACATTTAAATTCACTTAGTTTTTTTCCCTGTCCTCTCCATTCTGCTGTTAATCCCACCCAATACATTTTTATTTAAGATGTTATCTTTTTCAGTTTTAGAATTTCCTTTTGGCTCCTTTCTATAATTTGTATTTCTCGGCTGAGAGTTGCTGTCTTTCCATTCATTATGAGCATCTGGTGTATTCCTCTGAAAAGTGTTTTGTTTTGTTGTTGTTGTTTTTTGTATCAATAGGCATTCAGTTTGGCTAAACTCATCCCAACAGTAGATGGCAGCTCCAATCTCAGTTCATTTCTTTTAGTCTCATATGAAATGCTTGAGTATGCCCTGTCCTTACATGGTTCAGGCATCAGACAGAGATTTGGGGATTTTATATACAGAATTTGGAGTTCCCTTCCTCTGGCCCTCTTCTTTTTATATATTTATAGTTATTGATTTTAGAGAGGAAGCAAGAGGGGAAGAGAAAAACAATGATGAGAGAGAATCATTGATTGGCTGCCTCCTGCACACCCCCTATTGAGGATTGAGCCTGCAACCCGGGCATGTGCCCTTGACTGGAATTGAACCTGGGACCCTTCAGTCCACAGGCCAATGCTCTATCCACTGAGCCAAATCAGCTAGGACTGGCTCTCTTCTTTATGAGATTTATCGTTCACTTTCCAGAGGCAGTGGTTGCCCTGTGATTGCTTCTGTCCTCTGGTTCTTCAAGCCATTAAGATTGCAAATTTACCCCGAGATTTAGCATTCCCACAAGGTGTAGACTAGAGGCTGGGCTTATTTTCAAAGCTTTTTTTTTTTTAAGGGAAAACTCATGCAGTGCCACTTCCTCAAAGTCCTGACTCCCCTCCAATATCTGCTTGGTTTTGGTCACAGATAAATGTTTTTATATTTTATTCAGAATTTATAATTGGCACCGGCAAGAGGGTATCTTAGAGGAGCTACTCAGCTATATCAGAAGCTTAGCTTCCCCCTATTTTATACTGTAAAAGTTACTGGATGATTGACATCCTAGAGTAGAGACCTTTGCCCACAATATTCACATATCATCCACATACTTTCTAAGTTGTACTTAAAGGAAACTTGGCAGTGAAGGCCACAACTCCAAGTTAATGGGCATCAAGTGATCCCAAATAAGAGAAGGGTCATAGAATTCATACTGTGCAAAAGGGGAAGCAGGCCCACATAGCTTCCTCTTCAAGGCTGCCATGTGTATGTGGATATATGTGTTTCTCTGGAAGCCTTAGCCAGTTAAGTTCTCATTAGCATCCTTGCAAACATTCGTGTGAATTTTCTGAATGTGAGTCAAAGCAATAACATCTCCACATTTTAAAGAAACCATCTTGATTCTAAATAGGAGGTACGTAAAGCTGCAAGCTCAAAAGTCCAGGGTTTGCCCTTACAAACTCTACCTGACATACAAAGTCCAATTAGGATATCTCTGCCAGGAATGAGTTATCCTCACCTCACAGTGAGATGTTTGCAATTCTGATCTTTCTTGAGGGCTTTTCATGTTAAGTAGGAACTGTTTTGTTATCTTTTGCCTAAACCTTTGATGTAATGACAGTGGTTGGGGCTAGGGTGGGAACAGGGTTGTTTAAGAAGAAAAACTATTGAAAAGAACTACTTTTGCCTGGGCAGCATGGCTCAGTGGTTGAGTGTCGACCTATGAACTAGCAGGTCATGATTGGATTCCTGGTTAGGGCACATGCCCCAGTTGCAGGCTCAATCCTGAGAGTGGGGTATGCCGGAGGCAGCCAATCATTGATTATCTCTCATCGTTATGTTTCTCTCTCTTTCTCTTTCCTTCTCCCTTTCTCTCTAAAATAAGTAAAAATATATTTTTTAAAAAGAAAACTACTTTCTTCCCTTCTTTTGTCAACTGAAGGTATAAATAATGAATTATATAAGTAACTTTTTGTCTTAATACTTTGGATTCTTAACCAAATTTTAAAATTATAAAATAGTCTTGAATAATATATTTCTAGTAAAATATTTCTTAGAACCTAAATTTAAGTTTATCTGGTTATCTATTTTCTTTTCTTCCTTTCATCCCTTTCTATTATTTGTGCTTTATGATCAAATAAATGATAAGGGGAATCTAGTAAAGATACTTGAATATCAGATAAATTATGGGCATCTGTAACTTACTTTCCACTCTGTTTTATGTATCTATATTAGGAATGTGGCTTTACCAGGGATTTGATACTATTTGCAACCTTTAATGAAGGTAAAAACCATAAAACTTTCAACCTATAATTATCTTGATGAGTCTTCTATATCATTTTAGCTTTTATTTTACTGTTTCTGTTTTCCCCCATCACAGTTAAAAGTGAAAATCCTTTGGTAAAAGGTCTAAAGCTTTCTAATTCCTATGAAGATTTTGAGTTGAAGAAATTGCTGTTCAATATACTAGTGATCTTATGTAAAGATTTAACTACAGTACAGGTAAAGCATAATTAGACGAGATCGGGCGCGTTCAGGGTGGTATGGCCGTAGACTGGGTAAAGCATAATTAAAACAAATATTAAAAGCGACTCACCTTGTATATAACTTTTTAAAAGTCATGGCTGCAAATCTTTTATCGATCAAAATATTTACCATAGAACATAACAAACTCTTATTGGCTGGAGTTTCACCTTTTCAAAATTTCCTTTGATTAGCAGTAAATAAACAGTGAACTTACCTAAATATAGACCAGATATAAACCAAAGAAAAACAGGAGAAACTTAGAGATTTATTTATATATTTAGATCTCCTCAATAAGAGAATATAAAATGAAAGAAGAACCATATAGGCCCATCTAGCATAATAGTCTGTCTCTGACCATGGCAGCAAGGGTTGATTCTGCTGGAGGAATGCTAATATTTGCTGCCAATCTCAAACCCTTTTGAACCTGCCCTTCTCCATACCAACCTAATGTCTTTACATTGTTTTTTATTATTCATGAATTTCTCTTAATACTTTACAACCTACATAACAGCATGATGTAATTTGAAGAACATTGGGACTCAATTTTACTTCTGTTTTATCACCTACTAGCCATGTGGTCTTGGCAGAATCACCTAAACTTTCTGAGACTCAGTCCCTCCTTCTATAAAAGGAAGATTATAAAACTCCTGCCCAGCTTACAAGGCTGTTATGAGATTGATTCAAGAGATTAAGATGAAGGCTTCATAAACTGTAAAGTGACAGAAAAAAAATGTACTACTTACAATCCTGTTAGTTTAGTTATTTCCCACGTTAAGTGAAATTTCATTTTAGTCCTAAAACTCATTCAATCTCCAGGGGGTTACCATGAAAAAGAACTGGGAATTCATTCTGTCAGCATCTTGAATGATAATTTAAAGGTGGTTTGCATAGTGGTTAAGGCTCCTGTCAGATGGAAATCCAGTGCTGTCACTTTCTAACTATGTGATCTTGAATACTAGTGGGTTTAGTTTCTCTAAATCCCACGTATCTCTACTTCAAATTGAGTGTAATACCTACCTCAGGGGATTATTATGAAGATTAAAAGAGCTCAGAATTTTCTCGGTAATGCCACTTTGATGAATATATATACTAAAAAAATGCTCAGCAAAAGAAAAAATATCTTTATAGTTATAACTTTATTATATCAAATATATGTGTATACAAATATATATATATATATTTGTGTGTGTGTGCTATATACAACTTAAATGTATTTTCTGAAGTGCCAGATAGAAAATATTCAATAAAATATGGTTTATTATAGTGGAGTATTATATAGCTATTAAAATGATAGATGTAAAGATAATAAAATTTACACTACAATTTATAAGCCAATTTTAGTTGGTTAACAGTCAAATGGCACAGACTATGGTGAACTTCATAAAGCACTATGTGAGCAGTGGAATCAACTAATTTTTGGTCATATACTGGTGACCAATAATAGTAGTAGTAATGGTGAATTGTGCTGCTATGAACTTATTTGTGGAATATAGTTTACAACATAGGCTAATGAACAAGGATAGATCCAGAGACAGAGAAGCAGCGATAAGACTGTCAAAGCTCAAAGGGAAAGTAGGGGAGTGTGGAGGTAAGGGGGAGAGATCAACCAAAGGACTTGTATGCATGCATATAAGCCCAACCAATGGACACAGACAACAGGGAGGTGAGGCATGGAGGGGGTGGGGTTATGGGGAGAATGAGGTCACATATGTAATACCTTAATCAATAAAGAAATTAAAGATTGAAAAAAAATAGTAGTAATGATGAATATGTGTGTTATTATTTGCAGTTCACAGAGGACTTCAAAAACATTATCTACTTATAGTAATGCTAGAACTACCTGTTATTCTTATTCCTGTTTTTTCAGTCCTAAATATTTTTTAATATATTTGTATTGATTTCAGAGAGGAAGGGAGGAGAGAGAGATATAAAAACATTAATGATGAGAGGAATCATTGATTGGCTGTCTCCTGCAAGCCCCCTCCTGGGGATCCGAGGCAGCAATCTGGTCATGTGCCCTGACCAGGAATTGAACCGTGATCTCCTGGTTTATAGGTCAGTGCTGGGCAGTCCTAAATCTTATGTTCTTTCCATGTGGACTAGTAAAAAAATTAGGAAAATTCATAGATATTGTGGAAAAGTCTTTATGGAATAATGCCAAATGAAAAAACATTCAATAGAGTATAGCACATGGTGTGTTACTATCTTATAAACCACAAATATGCACCAATCAGAATCAGCTATAATATTAACTTTATTGTCATAAATAGCTATATATTTTTGTTTTCTTTTTATTAAAATCATAGATTCAATACAATTTTAAAATTCTAGGCACATATTTAAATATAGCTTGTGATCTGATTGGCATTTATTAGAATATTTGTATAAGTTCTGATGTGTGTGTTTAAAATTAGCCAAATATCTATCTCTCTCTCCCCTTCTGCCCTCCTTTCTACTCTGTCTAAATATCAATGGAAAAAATACCCTCAGTTGAGGATTAGCAAAACAAACAAAAGAAGGAACTAAACTTCTATACTTAAGTAGCATTGACCCAAAAAATTAATACTCTATGTTATTGTCAGCTAGAGAGTACATATCCCAGAAAAGGAGATCAGAGCCAGCTGTTGTATTGCTGAGTTTGGTTTGGGGTTTTCATTTTTTATTTGGGGGTAATTATCATAGGTTGAGATCTTTAGGAAGGAAATATTTTGAAATGATTATCAATAAAACATCAAAGAGGACATCTTTTATTTAACTTTCTTAGATTAAATAAAATTGTTTTCATTATATTTCTAACAAAATACTTTTTGCCCTTTCTCATAGCTATTGATTGATGGCAAAGTTGTTTTGGCTTTGTTCACCTACGTAAAGAAGCCTGAGAAGCACAAAATCATCGAGTGGTCTGCAGCACAGTATGAAGAATTACAGCTGCATGCACTTGCCACTTTGTCATCAGTGGCTCCTTTATTAATTAAAGAGTATATGTTGTGCCAGGGAAATGCTCGAATCCTGGCATTTCTAGAATGGTGTGAAAGTGAAGGTGAGTGGCCCATAACCATTCCTGTCAAGCCCTAGCCGGTTTGGCTCAGTGGATAGAACATCGGCCCTCAAACTGAAGGGTCCTGGCTTTGATGATGTACGTCAGTTGTATGCTCGATTCCCACTCCAACCAATTGATGTTTCTCTCGCGCGCTGTCTTTTCCCCTCCCTTCCACTTTCTCTAAAAAGCAATGGAAAAATATCCCTGGGTAAGGGTTAACAAAACAAAAAAAAATATTCCTGTCAAAATTTTAATCTACATATTTCAACTCAACTCCCAAAATATACATAGAAAAGTTATAAAATTATGCAAAAAGAAATAAAAATATCAATCTCTTCCTGTGATTTTAATGTATTTACATGTTTTAAGAAAAGATTTCTTTTAAAAGTAGATATTAATAAATGTCATAACTATAGTTGATGTACAACTTTCAGTAAAAGAAATTATATTATAATCTGATTTAAAGATTTGTATTATTAGACCTGTCCAACAAGAATGCTAAGTCATGCAATATTTTAATTATTCATTTAACAAATATTTATTGAATGCCTACTAGGTACCAGATACCATTTTAGCTGCTAAAGATATATTTATGCTTAAAATAAATAAAACCTCTGCCTTCCTGGAGCTTAAAATCCAGATCTCTAGTCAGATGTAATGATTCCATATGTGGTCTACTAAATTAGCAGGGCCCCAATTTGTTGAATATTTTATTTCAATTCTCATAATTCTTAGAAAGGAAATTAGACATATATTCATTTTGAAAACAATTTATAAAGAAGGTACTATATTATTTTCTGGAAGTAATTTTGCTCTAGGAATAATTTTGTATGGAGCATTCTCATTAGATCGGTAATATCACCCATTTATCCATGAGAGAGGGAAAAAATTATAGCTTATTTTTTGTTCTCTAGTTTTTAATATGCTAAGTTACTGAATTTAGTCTCGTTAAATATCTATCCTTTATGTTTACAGAAGACTATATCATTATGACATTATTTATGTTGACAAAAGAATGTAGGGCAAGAGAGGAAGTCCTGCCTCCCAAGAGGAAGGCTGACAGCTCACAGTCATGGGTACATGCTATGTTGTAGGCCTTATGCACTTACAAGTATTAATTCGTTTTGTCCTCCCAGAAAATGTAGGACTCATCGGTACTAGTATTATTCCAGGTTAGCAGATGTGTAGCAATGAATAAGAGAAACCAAATAACTTGTTCCTGGCCACACAGTGAGTGGCAGAGCCAAGATTTAATGCAGGCAGTCTAGCTCCAGAACCCACACTTTTAACCAATGCACAATAATCAGAAGAGTATTCTGAACTTGTTGATAGCTTTAAACATAAGGCTTCTTCTAAAAGAACCTTTTGAAGGATGCATATTATAAAGAAGAAAGACTTGCCTTGCTATTTATCAAGACCTACCATAAAACTATAGTACTTAAAATTGTGTGGTACTAGACCAGGAATAGACCAATGGGAGGTTGACTTTCTCAGAGATGACACTGCCAATAACAGGGAGAAGGATGGTGCTGGGGCAGTTAACCCTCCGTGGGGAAAAACAAAAATTAGATCCTTTCACCATGTTAAAAAAAATCAATTACAAAATGAATTAAAGCCCTAAATATGAGAAGTTAAATTGTAAAAATCTTAAGGAAAAAACATGGGAAAATACCTTTATGATAACAGAGTAGAAAAGGCTCTGGAAAACCAGAAGAGATTAAACTATGATACAGAAGAAGACTGACACATAAAATGTCTATGACAAATCAGGGAGCAATCTACAAATGAGAAAAGACATTTACCACCCCTGTGACTAATAAAGGGTCAGAGTCCTGGTTCATGAAGAACTCCTACATATCAAAAAGAAAATAACTCAGTGGAGAAATAAAGCATAGAGACTGCCAGGTAACAGAGAAAATGTCAAATTTAAAAAAAACAAAAATTCACACCCACAAAAACCCACTAAAAGATACTTAATCCCATAGGTAATCAGGGAAATGCAAATTAATATAATAATGAATCACCACTTCACATTTAACAGATTGGGAAGAATCTATTAGTCTTATACATTACATCTGTATAACCACTTTGGGGAACAGTTTGGAAGCTTCAGTAAAATTCAGTGTAGGGATCCTCCACATGGCAAAACTCTTCTCAGCTGGAGTAAGAGGACATGAACCAGAATATTCATTTTAGCAATTTGTACCAGTGAATTGAAAAACTGTGATTTATTTATAAAATGAATGCTGGAAGCAATTAGAATGAATAATCTAGATCTACTTTTGACACTTTGAAGAATTTCTAAAACAATGTTGGGTAACAGAAGCAAGTTACAAAAGATACAATATAATACATTTGAAGAAAATTTTAAAGCACATATTTCTTTTCTGGGACTAGGAGGAGGAGGAGAGGGAAGGCATACTATTGATTTCTGTAAACAGTATAACAAAATTTTTAACATCTGTTTGAACTTATAGATATCTAATATGTTGTTTGTTTTATTTGAAAAGTTTCACGTTTTAAATTTCTTGATGTAAAGTAAGTCATTAGTATTTCTCCCCAGAATACTTCTTCAGTCATGGTAACAGTTTCCATGGCACAGGCGGCCGTGGCAACAAGTTTGCCCACTTGCGTTACACTCTAAGACTCCTGAGAGCTATGATCTATCTTGAGGATGAGACTGTGAATCAGGATCTTTGCGAAAAGGGGACGATTCAGCAACTCATAGGTAAGCAGAACATGCTCGCGACTGATGGAAATAGCATATTTACAAATTAGAGGTTTTGTTTAAAATGTTTTCTTACAAATTTGTTTTGCTTTTATAGTGGAGAAATGCCTGAATGTTTTCTTGATTTTTTGTTTCATATTGTTGCTATACATTAGTTTCTTTACTGAAACATCATGCTTACTCATGTTTTAAACATTTGTTTTCTCAGTTCAGATACCATTTCATTTAGGATTATCTTTATCTTTATTTTTGAAATGGGCCATTGTTATATCTCATTCTTCTGGTAATTAGATTACCATTTTCTGGCCAAGCCTTTTGGAGTCGTTTTAAAAGAGGTGATAACATTACATTTTCCAGTGCATCTGGTATACCAGAACACCGATACATGCAGAAATGTACATTGGAGATTCTTTTCTGATATGAGATATCAGGATACTAGAGGCTCAGTGCCAAAATTCATGCACAGGGCAAGAGGGGTGTCTCTCTGCCCGGACTGCACCCTGTCCAATATGGGACCCCTCGGGTCAATATGTATGACTCCCCACACAGGGATTGGGCCTACACCAGCAGTTGGACATCCCTCTCACAACCTGGGACCACTGGCTCCTAACGGTTCACCTGCCTGCTAGCCTGATCGCCCCCTAACCACTCCCCTGCCAGCCTGATTGACACCTAACTGCTCCCCTGCCGGCCTGATGGCCCCCAAATGTCCTCCTCTGCCGGCCTGATCTCCCATAACTGCCCTTCCCTACCGCGACCCGCCTCCTCTACTGGGACCCACATCCTCCATGCAAGGTGGCAGAGATGCCGGGACCAGCCTCCTCCACACCACGTGGAGCTGTGGGACCCCCAGACATCACTGCATGGAGCAGCCGCTGGGCCCCACCTCCACTGTGCACGTGACCATCTTGTGGCAATGTTAGGGTGTGATGTGTGAGGGCGTGACACCACCTAGGCTATTATTAGTAGAGATTCTTGATTTCCAACATGTGTAAATTCAGCACTCCTAAAGAACATCTTTTTACTTTTTGTTAAATAAGATGTAGTCTGCCAGCCCTAACTTTTCCTGACTTTGAAAAGTAAAAGAGGGGGGGGGGAAGTAAGAGCTATTTTAGTTGTATTCATATTCAGTGATTGCCTCGTGAGTAAGTGATATAATTTGCTGGATGTTGATTAATTTCAAACGCCCATTCAAAAAACTCTCCTGCCTGTTAAGTTCAAGTGCCTACCCTCCCATCATTAATGGAGTGGGTGGTGCTCTCCAATAATATCAGTAGAAAAATAAGGGCATTGAAAGGGGGGCTAAGACAAACACGTTCGCCGTATGGATGAGTTTGCTTAGGATGACCAAACCTGAAAGGAGATTTCTCACTCCGTGCACATCCCATTGCACAGAAGCAAGTCTTTAGACCCCAGCCTAACTGGATGGGGCCCAGGAAACACCATTTTCCATCTGTCCAGGAAGAAGTCTTCACCTTGCTGGGTGGGAAGGGGTAGGGGAATGGGAAAACAAACAGTCAGGCTTCTTTTCTTAGGGCCTTTCCCCTTTGGCTTGAAAGAAGCCCGATCTTTACCATGTGAGAGTTGGTAAAGGCGGGACCTTCTCTGACTAACTCTAGCAGCGGGCTCTGTAGTAGTAATGTGCTCCACACACAGTGCCTATTGTCAATGTAGATGTTTACACACCTTTTGTGTAGGCACTGGGTTACAGACAGGCACAGAGCCGGCCAAAGGGGACCTGGCCCTTTATGAGAACAAAAGAAAAGGTGTATATGATAGAAAGATAGCACATGTTACCATGCACCATCACTAAGACTAATAAGAATACAATAAATACCATAGGAACTAAAGGTTTTTGGGTAGTTTCAAAGCCAAGCGAACTTTTTTGTTCTGTTTTTTTTTGTCTAGTTAACATTTATTGAGTGCTTATTATGCACAGGACACTGTTCTAAGTACTTTAAATACACAACCTCATTTAATCCTCACGATAATTCTTGGTGCAGGCACCTTTTTTATAGATAAGAAAGTTAATAAACTTGCCAGAAGCTGTATATCAGGTGCTGAGGGAAGGGGGAAATTACAGAGTAATTACTTGATGGGTAGATGAAACCTTTGCAAATTTGAGTCAGATTGTGAATGGTTTTGAATATAATGCCAAGGGTATAATTACAGTGCAGAAAGGGTGCATATACTGAGAGCCAGGCATATGCCTAATCTTACAAATTCCCTATTTGATAAAAGCTATTAGCCACATTGTTACTAACAAAATAGACATTTTTATTATCCCTAAATCATGACAGTAAGTGGAAAAAGAGGGAAAGAAAGAAAAGCCTGAGTTCTTAACATGCTCTCTATCTACCACATATTCTCCTCTCACTCTTTCTTTATGACAATTATTTTTAATCCTCTTCTGATTTCTGATCCTCTGATGAAAGCTATTGGCCCTGATATACATGACAATACAAGCAATTTTATGTCCTTCATAGGGACAGATTATAAAAACAAGTTTTATTTATTTTTTTTTAAAAAAAACAAGTTTTATGAAGAATTATTTTTCTCTCATTTTTTATCTTTACTATTCTTATTTTTAATTTAAAATGTTTAAATTGTAAAATACATATAATGTTAAATTTAACATCTTCATCATTTTTAAGTGTGCAGTTCACTAGTGTTAAGTACATTCATATTGTTTTGCAACCAATCTCCAGAACTCTCTCGATCTTGTAAAACTGAAACTCTGTACCCATTAAGTAATAATTTGCTCGTCTCCCCAGCCGCTGGCATATACCATTCTACCTTCTGTGTCTTTGAATTGGGCTGCTGTAGGTCTTTCACTCATATTAGTGAAATAATACAGTATTTGTCTTTTTCTGACTGACATGTTTCACTTAGCATAATGACCTTAAGCTTCAGCCATGTTGTAGCATGTGTCAGAATTTCCTCCCTTTTATGTTATTAATTTAAAAATGTTGGTTTATAACAACAGAAATTTATTATCTTAAAATTCTATAGTCTAGAAGTCTAACTTACATCTTACCAGGCTAACATCAAGGTATTGGCAGGATAGTTTCTGTCTGGAGGAGATTCGTTCCCTTGCCTCCTCCAGCTTTCAGAGGCCACCCAATTCCATGGCTCATAGTCCCCTCCCTCCATCCTCCTCAAAGCTAGCGAGGCCAGTTGAGTTTTCCTCATCTGGCATCACGGGCACACTCAGAAAATACTCCCCTTTAAAGGATGAATGACATTCCATTGTAGGCATATGCTGCATTTCATTTATTCATCCATCTATCAATGGAGACTTGGATTACTTCCACCTTTTGTCTGTTGTGAATAATGCTGCTATGAACGTGGGTCTACAGATATTTCTCTGAAACCCTGATTTTAATTATTTTGGATTTATACCCAGGAGTAGAATTACTGGATCATATGGAAATTATATTTTTAATTTTTTAAAAGAATTGCAATACTATTTTCTGTAGTGGGTGCACCATTATACATTCCCACCAACAGTGCACGAGTTTTCCAGTTTTTCCACATCCTTTCCAATACTTGTTTTATAGTTGCCATCCTAAGTGGTGGGAGGTAGTATCTCATTGTGGTTTTGATTTGCATTTCCCTAATGATTACTGATGTTGAGCATCTTTTCATGAGATTGTTTCCATTTGTATATCTTCTTTGGAGAAATGTCTAGTTAGTTCTTTGCCAATTTTAAAATGAGTCGCTTATTTTGTTGTTGAGTTTTAGGAGTTTTATATATTCTGGATATTAACCCTGCATCAGATATATAATTTAAAAATATTTTCTCCCAATCCATTAGTTGCCCTTTCAGTCTGTATTGGTTTCAGGTGTACAGCATAGCAGTTCAGCAATCATACTTCACAAAGTGTTCCCCCTGATATTTCCAACACCCACCTGGTCCCGTACATGGTTATTACAGTATTATTGACTATATTCCTTATGCTTTACTTTACATCCCCATAACTATTTTGTAACTACCAATTTGTTCTTCCTTTTTAAAAAATCTTTATTGTTGAAAGTATTACAGATGTCCCCCCCTTCCCCAGCACTGACCTCTTCTAGCCTGCCCCCAGTCCCCACCCCAGGCCTTCACCACAATTTGTACTTCTTAATCCCTTCACCTCTTCTGAGGGCTGGGCAATCTTACTAGGAACCTGTATTGAATTGGGGTATAGGGCTAGTTTCAAGAAAGTAAAAAATTTGAGCAGAGACATGGTGTTAAAATGTTCATGATGGCGTGTTCAGAGGTAGCTTAAGTAGAGTCGGAGTTTTATGAAGACAAGTGTAATTGTCTGTCTAGTCAGGGGCCAAGCTAGAAAGAGTTTTGAATAGGAGATGGTAGCGTTTGAACTCCATCCTCTTTAGGCATGAGAAGCCACTAGAGAAGTTATATGTATAATGCTGTTTTAGGAAGAGGAATCTGTAAGAAATAAATCAGAATAGAACAAACAGAGGGTAAAGGCAGGGAATTAAAGGGAATATGAACAAAGTAATTCGGTGTTAATATAACGTGGTTCAGACAACAGGGAAAGTGACATGCCTGCACCCAGGTAGGAAGGAGAATGAGATAACCTAGAAGGTTATCTATGGGCAGCAGGCATGGATTTCTAGAAGGTGCTCCTGATAAAGGCATATAGGCCTTACGTCCATGGCCAGCCTCCAGCACTGGGCCTCCAGCATGCTCACTAGTCTCCCTATGGGATGATCCCTCACCAGTAATTCATCCTCACAGGACCAAGAATCCTTCATTCAGAGCCAACTGTGGAGATAGGCTGTGATTTCCATGATCCTACTTTTAAACATAGCTCCACACCATCTGCTAATGCCAGTAACCCCTTTAACAGAGGGGGAAAAAATGACTTTTGTTTCTCTCTCTGAGCTTTAAGAAAAAAAATTTGAGGCAAAATTTTATTATGAATATCATTGCGTCAAAGTAAGTGGCTATTGTCAAGTCTTTTTAAAATTTTATTAGAAGCAAGGGAGAGATTTTAAAGGACACGAGAATACTGCTACCTAAAGTTGTTGAAGACTCCTTCACATAGACATAAAGAGAGGATGCAGAAAGAAGTAACAAAAATAGAAATACTTACAGAAGTCTTCCACCTTTACTTAAAATTGACCCTATTAACCATGAGAAGAAGAGATGAGGCAAGCAATTATCAGGCATTTTGGTCATATATTTGCAAAGGCACTCAATTCTACCTCATTAAACTGCATATTTTTAAATGGTTTTGTTTACTGAGCAAAATATTAGGTTGTTAGGGTGTCTTAATGACACTCCATTAATTTTGTACTAGAAATTCTATATAGATATACTGATTTATTGAGAGTTCAGTGAATCCTCTTATTACCTGTCTACATCTTCTAGGCAACTATGAAATGAAAACAGCCCCTTTTAAAATTATTTCTCTAGCTGAGATTTTATAAGAAAGGACTTCAAAGCAGTAATTGATTAAAATAAAAATATACTGTCCAATAACTTTGCATTCTTTAATTTTTTATATCAGGGATATTTAAATATACAATAAGCAAGATTAATGACAAGGAAGAGGCCATTCTTTTGGAAATTCAATCTGATATATTACTTATTTTATCTGCTCTTTGTGAAAATGATAATTCCAGGAAGGTATGTATGCCTGTGAATAAAAGTTTTGTTTAGGCCTTCCAATCACTTAACAGTATGAGCTTTTTCTTATTAAGTGCCCATAAATGTTGGTGTTCTTTAATCTTATGGGGATTTAATATTTTTTTATAATTATAGTACAGTTATGTCCAGTAAAGTGTATAGATCTTAAGTATATAGTTCAATAGATTTTGACAAATGTACATTCATTTAACCAAAACCCCCGTTAAAATATAGAATATTGTTACCTCCCTGTAAAATTCATTCATGTTCCTTAGCAACCATCCTCCCACTTGCCTCCAGGAAACCACTATTCTGATTTCTCTCCCTATAGATTAGTTTTGCCTATTCTTTAATTTTATATTGATGGAATCATAGTATTTACTCTGTTTATATCAGGTTCCTGTCATCCAGCCATCATATTTCTGAAATATATCCATGTTGTTGCATGATCAGTATTGCTAATTATATTGATTATACAAATATACCAAAAATTTGCTTCTCCATTCCCCTATTAAAAAACACTTTGGTTGTTTCCATTTGGAACTATTATATATGAAGCATCAATGAACATTATAGTACTAATCTTTTGTAGACGTGCTTTCATGACTCTTGGGTAAATATATAGTAGTGCAGTTGATGGACCATAAAGTAGATGTATGTTTTTAAGAAACTGGTAAACAGTTTTCTTAAGTGAGTTGTACCAGTATAAATGCTGTTTGGGGTTTGAATCAGGTTCAAATCTAAAACTAAATGTTGGAAAAAGAGCTAATTCCCTTTGATTTTTTTTTTAACTCCATAGCAAACTCTGAGTCTCAAAAATTGAAAACTTAAAAAACGAGAGACAGAATTGGAAAGATGAAAAATGTATAGCCCAGCTGGCGTGGTTCAGTGGTTGAGCATCGACCTATGAACCGGGCAGTCACAGGTTTGATTCCTGGTCAGGGCACATGCCTGGGTGGCAGGCTCAATCCCCAGTAGGAAGCATGTAGGAGGCAGCCAAAAAATGATTATCTCTCATAGTTGATGTTTTCTATCTCTCTCTCCATCTCCCTTATGCTCTCCAAAATCAATAAAAAAATAAAAATAAATGTATGAAGGTTTCAATAGAGGGATTTTAGAGAGAGAGAGAACAGGAACAGCAAATGCATCCTTAGCTCCAAGTTTTGCTGCCACTTCTCCTTATATTGCCACTCTGTTCCTGTATTTCTGGAAAAATAGTCTTGCTTATTGGGAACTAGAACTGAACAACAAGGCAATGAGGAAGGTAATTGGTAGGGGATAAATATTAACTGATAATGTCATATAAACTATTAATGTTTGAACTGCCATTTATATATTTGTTTCTCTCTTGGGAGTGTTAGAAAATTTTCCATGATAGAATTTTAGACTCTTCAATTACTTGTTGCTATCTAGTATTCATCTGATATGATGATTGACTGCATTCATTATATTGTGGAAGAAAATCATGGGACAAGCCTTATGGTTTATTTTTCTTAAAGAGAGAGAAAGTGAAAAACACAAAGCATAAAGGAACATTAAGCTGGACTATTGACTGATGCCCTCTCTTAAATGATTAGCTTTACAATAGTTTGTCCTAAATTCCTGAGAACAAGTAAGTACACATTCAGAAACAAACAAACAAACAAAATGAATTAAAAGTACAATTTTCCTAACAATGTTGTATTTATCTGATAGAAAAAGTTTTAGGAGACAGGAGGACATAGGAAAGAAAGGGATTACTTATGTATTTCAAGAAATAATTTTAAATCTCTTAGGAAATTTTTGGAACTGAAGGAGTGGATATAATTCTTCATGTAATAAAAACAGACCCCAAGAAGTTTCAGAGTGGATTAGGCTATACTGTACTTCTTTTTAGTACATTGGACAGCATTTGGTGAGTATTACTGTACCGACATTACTGTACCCACTATGTCCTCCTGTCTCCTAAAACTTTTTCTATACTGTACTTCTTTTTAGTACATTGGACAGCATTTGGTGAGTATTACTGTATCACAGTACAAGAAAGTTACCTCGATAGTCATGTGTGCCAATTTTCTTTCCTCAAAATCACACCAGAATCACATCTCTCGATGCCTTTTTCTTTTTAATGGTCCCAAAAACACACTTACCAGTGTCCTTTGGAAGGTAATCTTGTCTGTCACTCAATTCTTGTATCTAAACTTAAATTCTTGTTTTTGTGATTTGAACCCATTCCATTTTAGCCTGGTCTGGGAAAACACTAGCATCTATTAGTATTATTCTTATACTGGAAGACAGTTGAATTCCTCATTCATCTTTTCTTAAAGGAGTTAAAAACCAATTGACTATGTATTTCCTAACCAATATTGTTTCCCAAATTTTGTAGCATTTCTAAGGGTAAAAAAATACTTCTTTTTTTTAAGATTACTGGTAATTTACAAGACTTTGTCCTGGAGGAAATTACTTGAGTTTTATATATCATTAACACTTAATATATTTCTTTAGTTATATTTGGGTGGCATTCATGAAAGACACACTGCAACACATTGTAAAAACAAAAACAAAACTGATAACTATAAATCAAATGAACCTAACAGATATATGCAGAACATTCCACCCAATAACAGCAGAATACGTATTCTTTTTAAATGCTGTGATATTGTGATTTATAATAAAAAATATAGATTTGGTCCATTGCTAGTACTGAGTTCCTGAAACACTTGTAATTTTCTAGTCAATAAGAGTAATGGAAGATCTGTTGTTGTAATATTTGGTTTTTATTCTCAGTTCCTATAAAATCTCCAGAGTAATGAACACTTTGCTATTCATAACAAGTCCCTTTCAACCACAGCCGAGTTCATGTTAATAAGATAATTTTTTGGAAATCCCCTAGATAGACACAGAATGGGGGCTGGTTTCCAGGGGGAACTAATCATATAATTGATTAGAGAGTTGGAAATATCACCCCCACCCGCAACCTCCAGGGAGGGGAGAAAGGCTGGGGATTGAGTTTAGTCACTAATGGCCAGTGATTTAACCAGTTGTGCCTCCATGATGAAGCCTACATACATCAAAACCCTAAATATGAGGCTGAAAGAACTTGTAGCTTGTGAGCACATGGAGGTTCTGAGAGAGGGCAGGGAGATTCTCCCTACCTGCCCTCTGCATTTCTTCCATTGCTTTTATAACAAAACAGTAATCCAGTGAGTACAGCGCTTTCCTTGGTTCTGTGAGCCTCTTTAACAGATTTCCATCCCAAGGAGGGTGGCGTATCTAATATACAGCTGGTTGGTCAGGAACAACCTGGACTGGAATCCAAGGTGGGGCCAGAGGCAGTACAGTCTTGTGGGACTGAGCCCGGTACCTCTGATTCTAATTCCAGGTAGATAGTGTCAGAATTGACTTGAATTGTAGGACACCCAGTTGGTATGGGGGGGGGGGGGGCCCACATATTTGGTGGCCAAAAGTGAATTATTAAGAGTTGAGACAGAATTTTTGGTTTTTTGGTGTTTTTTTAAAAAATATATTTTATTGATTTTTTACAGAGAGGAAGGGAGAGAGATAGAGAGATAGAAACATCGATGAGAGAGAAACATCGATCAGCTGCACTCTGCACATCTCCTACTC